ATGATAGAAAAATTATGAAATTTGGGCTCTAATCATTTCGATCTTTCCTCGACCTCATTTGTAAAGAAATAAATATTGTACCAGCATGCTGGTAAGTTATATGCTTCGAGCCTGATGGTACAATCACTTGATGGAGCCAGCAAGCTGGTACGTATATTTCCCCTTTTATACAAAAAGGTTTTTGGTTGGATAAAATATTAGCTTTTTTTTTTGCAGACTTCATTGTTTTTCTATACCATTACTTATTGAAATTGTTTGCGTGTATACTTATATATTTATATGTATGTAAGTAAAAAATTTAGCTACCATTTTTAGCCACATCGACTTTTTTTAGCTCTCTTTTAGCCCTTTTTTAACGGAATTTGGCTACCGCTAAAAATTATTCGCGGCAACACTGGTCACGATTGGCAATTCGTGCTGGATGAACTCAGGAAGAATAAAAAGAACACACAGCTACTGAACGACTGAGACACGGAACGTGATCTATATCGTCAAGTGAGAAGTGCCGTAAGCAATTACATCGCGGCATTGCCTAAACCGAGCTTTCCTGTGTTACTATTGGGCCCACGAATGCGGCTTGCCAATATTATATTGCCACAAAGTCTCATTCGGAGACACCAGGATTGTATTGTGGAGGACCTTCGTTGACTCCTTTTCCAGAACGCGCTTTTTACTTTACAGGGACTTGACACACTCAAGAGGTCTCCCCGAATATCGACAAATACATTTCGGCATTTAAGCGAATTTCGTCTCTTTCCCCTATGTACATTGCATTTCTGTAGTATAACGATTCTCATCCATTTTATCATGTTGTCGCCAGCGAATGAAGTACAAACATTCCTTCAAATTTAAAAAGTAAAAAATTCACTACTAAAAATTGAAAAATGTTCCTAAAACTTGCAAAGAAATTTGGAAAAGAAATATCACTGTTCTTGTTTTTAGGAATAGGGTGGGAGTGTCATTGATAAAATTAGAGCGAGAGAAAGTTTTTCTTACAAAACCTTTCAATATTGAATCATGATTCTTTCATAAATATTCTCCAGTTGATTGATGAGGTGTGAGCCAGAGTGTAACAAACAATTATAAAAATTAGAAACAAAAATACAAGCACAAATAAATAAAAGAGAGGACAGTTAAAGATAATAGCTTCCTTTACACAAAAAGGAATATGCGAGTACCAAGAAACAAGTTAATTAACAATGCAAACAGAAAATAATAATATTCTGCTACATGAGGTTTGTTCCACACGAGCCCGCGGGTGCCCACGGGTGCCCAAAGCAGCCCAGAAAGCGTTCCTCACGCTAGGAAAATGGGTAATAGAGAGCGAATACGTTCCACTTTTGGATCGTAAACAAGAATGATAGAATACAAGATTGCGCCGATTGCAGCAGAATTCGTGAGAGTAATTTTAGCGTGACGTCATCGTAGAGTTGTCAACTGAGAGCGGCGGGAATGAGGGCGACTAGTGATGTGCTGAATTGTCCCCAATACTCGGTACCCAATACTTAAAAAAGATTTCGGTACCCTATATTTCCTTTTCGGTATCCGATACCGATTATTTACATTAAACCCTCGCCATTATATGCATTTCAGGTTTAGAAAAAACTTTCATTATTAATTTATATGATATCGGCTAAAACACTTGAACTTATCGCCACAGAAAAATATTATTTTATCAGTTTTAACCTTAGTCGATCCAAGGTTCAAGAAAAATACTTTGGCCGATGAAGAAGCCTTTCAGGGGAGAGATTCTGCAGCCAGTTAGCGACAAGTTTCGGATCGATATCGCACTTGTTGACTGAAATATTTGATATCAAACGTCGACAAAACCGATACCGATTCGAAAATTGTCGTTAACTGGTTACAGAATCTGTCCCAGGCCTACAAAAATGATATCGTCCGATTCAGCTGGAACAAAAATGCTTTAAACAAGTAAGGGTTTCTCTGTATTATGGCATCGAACCGACATATATACATCTTTCATTTGAATCAGTAAAAAAGCTCTATTCGGGTTTTGTTAGGCGATTTTTCCATATTTTTGGCCTATGTGCGCTTTTATTCGAAACCTAAATGTTTCGGTACCGAGTATCGAGAGTATTGGGTACTTAAAAGTATTGACTCAGCACATCACTACTGCTGTCTTCTCTACTATTACGTCACCAAAACAGCTGATTCTGTCAAAATCACTGAGAGCCGAGTAGCGGTATCGTCATCGGCGCCACCTCTGTATTCTCTCCACCGTGGATCGTAAATATCTTCTTCTTTGTGCACGAAACAGCCCGGACTTTTTTTCCGGGCACAAATGTGCAAAAGGGCAATTTGAAATAACTGCTGTTATTGTTTAAATCCGAAAGCAAATTTTATAAAAACAAAAGTGGAAAATATCATAGAATTTTCAGAAAATGTAGTTATTTGGTAATTTTATTAGCCATATAAGATAAATACACGTAAAATCATTGTTTAGAGCTGACATGTTGATTCCGGGCACGAAATGTGGTTTTTGCGTTCCTAACGCTCTGGGCACTTTTGACACGTGTTGGCACATTTTTGACACTTGTGAGAGAGTAACTTATTTTAACTCTCTAATTACCGGAGCGGCCCGGAAAGCGTGGGGAACGAAGCTATGGTGAAATAAATATAAGGTGGTGTCACTTACATAACCCCACTTTTTCTGCATGCCAATTGCGGCCATGCATTTTGGGGTAGTAGAAAAAGGGCGAAAAGATTAGGATTATTTTTACTACTTTTTGGGTACTATTTCCAATACTTGCATATATCGGTGGACCCCAACCAGTGTAATTACAGCTTAATTTTTTCACTCAAAAGAAATTATTATTAGTTAATTTTTATTTTTTCGATCAAATATATTGATTTTAATAATTATTATTCAGTTATTTTTTTTTAACTTAAAATTATTATTTGTATAACTTAAAGGCCACACGGTCGTACCACACACATATGATGATGGTTAAAACTTGAAAAATAAGGACTATTTTCCGTCTTTCAATTAAATATATTAAAACAAATTAAATTATACCGTTCTCTTTATTTAATTATTCTTAAGTTCTACTAAAAATTACATATTAGCCCGTATGGAATTTTATTTGTATTTTTTCCTTAAGTTCTGAAGTACATGTATATGCGTACTTAGTTTTTAAATATCTTAACTTTAAAGGGAATTTCATTACGACCTTTATTTTCGTTAACATTTTAAAATTACATTTTTGAATTTTATCAGTTATATTATTTATAAAATAATTATACGCTTAAATTGTTAGACCAAAGTGCATTATCGTAGCCATCCGAGGCACTGCTCCAATAATCTGTTGGATATGTATAGTATATATTTTACTTAAAATTTGCTTACAAAATCACAATTATTGGAAATTATCGCTCAAATTTTCCAATGAATTTGAAACGAAAAGTCAAAGCAAAAGCGAAACAAAAAACAAAGAAACAGGTACTACGTTTATACGTAAGCTATTTGCAAATAAAAATAATTTGCAAATACCTAACTCACTGTTTACTTGATGGTAAATGATGGTGGTGGGATTGATGGTTCTTTTTTAATATTGCCTGATTATAAAAAGGCAATAATATGACCATCGAAAAAGAAAATAAAGTTAAAAAT